AGAATTGTGAAGATTAAATGAAATAATCGCCTCACATAAGCTAATTAATGCATGTGCGTTGCTGAGCATAATGGCGGAAAACAGGGCATGTGCGTGTCTGTGTGTGCACACACTATTCACCCTTTCTCTCCACGCCCACTGCACCACGAACTCAGAAGTATATAACCTCACATTTCAGACACCAGCATACTCGTTACTTTTCTGGCCTCAGCTCTCTGGTCTAATCTGTTCTTCACTCAGCCACCGTATGAATCAATGTTAAAGCACTCATGCTGCTTATCTCCATCTTCTCCAGTCTCCCATTGCAGGTTCCATCTGCCTTCCTCATTTTGCTCTTCATCCTATACCACCCTGCACTTTTACTTAATTGTTCGCAACTGGATTGTGTGCCTCTTTAAGGTGAGCTTCTTGTCTGACTTTTCTTTTGTATCTCCATCCCACACCAGGTCTCAGCCTTCCTAGTCATACCACCGGTCATTTCTATGAACATCCTTTGCACCGTTAAATCTGCAGTGTCACTCTTACATTATAGAAGTAATTCCTTAAAGTTGCCTTAATGGGAACAAAAGCTCCCACTCAAGGTAGCTGCGGACACATTATTAATCCACAGCAACCTATACCCATTAATGGTACATCCATTGATTCATTCATTGATGAACTCAGCACATACTGTGAGTGCTGCTTCATGCCAGGCACTATTAGAGGTGTTGGGTATATAGCCATGCACACAATAGACACAGTCCCTGGAAGTTGTATTTTCCTGATTATGTCAAAGCAAGCTTTGTTTTAGAAGTGGCTTTGGCACTGCTTACTCCCAAGTGGGTGTTCTACAACATGGGACAGTAAGTTACCAGTTTCTAAGGAAACAGGACTGTTTTTAAACTATATTACTTTTACAAAGCTATTCATCTGTGATACTGTAAAGAACCAAATTAATGTGACTCCCCACCACCCACATTAACTTTCAGTGTTAATCATTTAAGTCGATGATACGGTTGATCAGTCTGACTCAAAAGAGGAACTTTTTATGGGAGGTGATTATAAAGGTAATCTGAAAGTCTAGCTTTTTAGTATTAGGGAAGACCTAATACTTTAACCCTTAGGTGATCTGTTCCAATCATTTGGAAAAGCCGATGGACATTGTAAAAGCCCCTATGGGAGAGACTGTTGCTCATACTGTGATCGTAGAACCCACACAGGTCATTTCATAAACGAGTAGAGCCACCAATGGTCCCTGGTGAGCCGGTGAGCCGGCTGCCCCCACTGTGGCTTACAGCATAGGCTAGTTCCTGTGAAGTCTGGGTCTTTGAAATCAAGTCAACCTTTAGCGACATTCTATTTAGTAGAATGTATTCGACACTGAACGATCTGCCTTTATAGAGAAGAGTTAAAGTAGAAGCACAAAAAGTAAATCCATAGGAACAAGAGAAGGATCTGATGACTCTGCAAGTTTTTCTTCTTCTCTTACACTATGATCAGATTTTTGCAGCTGTTTCTCAGTGCCCCATATTAAAAGTCAAATATCTATGGGAAGCACATTCCATCTCCTCCTATCTCGGGTTGGTCATGGCCACCGAGATCGGGGCCCTGCCGAGAGGTCTGGAGGATCCTCCAAACAGCCGATCTAGTTACAGATTTGTCACTGTGACAGGAAGGCTCAGTGGCTTGAGGAGAAAGGATTAGTGGGGGACGAAAAGGATTGGGGAGGATGACAGGAGATGGTTATTTTGTTTTTTAAAGACATTACGAAAGAGAGAAATTTTAATAATTTTCCCAGCTTTGACAGTTACCAGAAATACCGTAGCAGCGTTGCTACTCCTGCCGCCTAAAATGGAAGCTGGCGATGACAGCTGACAACACCCATGGTCAGAAAGGAGGTTTCACTGACAAGTCATCGATAGAGTTCAGAGAAAGCAGTTTCCTACTTACACCAGGCGATTAACTGATTTGCAGTTTGGTTCTACTGACTGTCTTCTAAATGGTATGAGTGGTATTTTTAGATATTTACACCTATGATGCAGGTTACCAGATATATAGAGATTTAATTTAATGTCAAAGCAAAAAACAAAAAAAATTAGCCAACCTACAGACACAGATGGCAAAGTGAATAGGTGAGGGAAGTCCTTGTAAGGACAGCTCCCCAAGCTAATGAAGCCAACACAGTCTGTATAGAAAAGTAGATCTCAGTCTCATACTCTTCTGCCCCATTAGGGCAATAACACTCTCTGTCCCATTACTGCCCACAGGATGCTGTGATAACATCTTCATGTCTGTAGAAAACTTGTACAAACCTCGGGAATCAGGCAATTGGACAAATGTAAGGGCAAGCTTAGTAAATTACCTCTGGGCACCAGATTCCCTGTTGCCTTGCAGGTCAATGGGGAGCCATTCGCTTGTTAAGGAGCCCTTCTCGGTTCATCGTGTTCTTCAGTGTCATTTTTATATCAACCATGTGAGAGAGTGGAGTGTTTTATGTATCACCTCCTGAGTCATACTAGTCCTGCAGTCCTACGCCATTCAGGTTTTTCTGGTTGTTATTCCTGTATTTCATTTTCCTGAAGCGTGTCTCCCCTTCATTACAGTAGATACGTTTGAGAGGCCATGCCTAAGTGGCTTGCATTTAGAAGCATGGGAAAATTCTTCAACCATTTAATTTAGACAATTACGTATGTATGCTAGGAGGCTGAAAGTCACATGAGAGAAGCAAGACATTTTTGTCCTGCTGCCTTGCTGCAGATAAGGAATCATCCCTCGTCCTTTAGGGGGAGAGAGTTGCTTTTAAAAATCAGTTGTAGTATTGTCAGAAATCAGACATGGGCCACGTAGTACTTCTGTTTTGTTTTGTTTTGTTTTATTTTAATGAATAGTAGAGTTTGACAAGGAAACTGCTTAGCAATATAAACTAACAAACATGTAATGAAATATTATTCTTTGTTTATTGGTACCTAAACAGAAAAGTTAAAACGTTTAGCTACAAAACACAAATGTTAGCCTACTTCCCATAAGATGCATCATAATCTGTTTTAAGTGACAGGGAATTGTACAAAATAGAAAGAGAAATAAAGCAATGCTACAGGAACTTGAGACAGCAGTTCCTCTTCCTCCATCCAAAAGAAGATTTACAGAGCGCAAATATATTCTTTGACTTTGCCAGAATACATAATTTTCAAAATGCACTAGCAAAATGGATTCTGCTTAGATACATCTGAAAATTCTATTACGTGGGCCTTTTGGAGTAGTATATAGTTTACTTAAGAAACTCACTCTCTGACAAGGAATTAAGAGAGTTTTCCAAACAAAATGTCTTAGATGAGAATTTGGATTATTAAGTGCCAGGCCCTGGGAATCTGGGAACATAAAGTTTCCAGAGGAAATAATGACAGAGAACACACAAGCCAGAGGAGACACCCTGTCATAAAGCCTGGGTTTCTGGTGCCACAAGGTTAACGAACACATACTTTTAACTTTGTTCTTACTAAGTTTTTAAAGGGCATTTTAATGTCCCTTATGTTGCTGTTAGTATCCTTCATGAGTAATTTTTCTGCACCTTGTGACCATATGTCACCCTTGTTTCTTTTTTTTTTTTTTCCCCAGAGGCACACATATAGACAGGGCACCTAGTTTCTGCCATCATCCCTACCATCGCCTCAAATTTTAAACATAAGTGTTTAAAATAACCTGTTCTCCATACCTATTGTTTTTATGCTGATATTGGAAAATGGTTGTCTTCAAGTAAGAATAATGGAAATAATGTCAAGTTAAGTCTGTCTGAATTCTTCCCTATAGATACCTGAAGCTCATGACATAGAAAATAAAAGGGAATCGTCGCGTAGTGGAGAAGAGGGACACAGCAGGTTAGATACGCATTCCAGGCTGAAAGAGGATTTCTTGGCTGGCAATTTAATGACATACAAGAGCCTGCAACTTTATGAAAAGGCAACATGAACTTCTCCTTTTAATTTTCTTCTAAAAATTATTTAGTAGTATACAGTTTTCTCTCAAATTTCTCATCTTACAAAACTGGCGCTGTATAAATAATAAAGTTCATTCCCAAAAGACTTTTTAAAAAGGTTATTCAGCTTGAACACAGTAACTACAGCTACCATCTACCAACCTAAGTTTCCTGACCCCTCACCTTGGAGTCATGCGGCCCACGACCACCTCCCCAGCCTCTTCTCTTTCTTCTCACTGTTTCCATCTTGAGCGGAACTTCTTTCAGCTCCTCCATGACATCAGATTCGTTGTCAGGTCCAACGCACCTTTGCTTTTACTCTCCTCCGCGTCTGCATTGCTTTCTTTCTCCTTTTCTCCCCCGGCAGGCATCCATCAGATCTTGCAGCTTTTCTGCAACTTTACAATCTGTCTGTCACCTCCACATCTAATCTCTATGCTTTCTGTCAGGTGCTCCCGTAAGAACCTGAACTTATTCCCATATCAGCGAGTCTCATTTTATTTTGTTATTTTTGAGTTTATCTCCTTTTCCTGCAGCCCAGATGTTAAGCTCCTTTCATTAGAGAAATGTGCAAACACAGAACCAGCGGTTTCCCCATTTGATTTTATGCTGCCTCAAAAATACATGTGTTTTCCAAATGTTAAAAACACATTAACCATTGCTCTTAGGTTAATATGCTGATATTCTTAGTAGGCCCTACATACACCACACACGGCCTACCCCTTCCACGTCATCTCCTGCAACTCTCTGCCTTTACTCCTACATCTCAGCCATCCTGGCCTTCCTGTGGTGTTTCCAAGCTGCTTTCCACCTGCTTATCACCAACATTGCCCCCCCTCCACCAAGAATTCTGTCTATTCTGCAGCTCTCTGTTTTACTTGGGGAAGTCTGACATAGTTACGCCCGCATATACACAGCACTCCAGCTCAGTTAGGTCTCCCTTACACATTCCGCAGTGCACTATGCATGTCATTTGTAGCACATACCGTAGCCATAGCTCAATTATTATTTAAGTAATTGTATCTTTAATGTCTATCTTACCAATTAGACTATAAGCTCCAAGGAGCAGTAACTATGTGCATCTTGCTCAAGAAACATTTGCTGTGACTCCCGTCTGGTCCAGTCTGTAGCATGTGCGGGAACAGTGAACAACTAAGGATGGAGTAGGAAATGATGCAAGACAAAGACGTCGGGCCAGATGATAAAAGACCTTGATTGCCATGACAAATAATTTATATTTTGTCCTAGAGACAGTGAAGACCCATCAAATGTCTGTAAGTTGAAATAATTAAATAATCTGGGTTTTAAAGAATAAATCTGGCAGTAGATTATATGGCCGGTATGGAAGACTGGGAGCAAAAAGGCTATTATAGTAGATTATAAAAAATGGCCACATAATCTTCTGTCCCCATATATACATTCCCCTTGCAGTGTGACTTTGCCACTCTTCTTATCCCAAACCTTTGAATGCAGTTTGACCACGTGACTTCCTCTGGCCAATGGGACATTAGCAACTCTGATGCAGGCAGAAGTGTGAAAAGCATTTGCACACTGCGGGCTTGCTGGGACTCGACTGGGAACTTGAGGCCACTATGCGAAGTAGCCTCACTGGAGCGATGAATCTCAACCAGGTTTTACACTTCCTCTGCCCTGTTCGTATGTGTAACGTTCCTCCCCAACAATTAGAAACATCTCTCACTTCAGATCATGACTCTTGGTCGTGCATACCGGATTCTTGGATGGGAGGAGGCACATGTTTGACTTCATTTTACAGGCGATTCCCGCATACTCTATGACTGCAAATTGAAAGTCACTCTACTAAGTTTCAAGGACAAATAAACGCAGTTAACTCAGCCTAGGGACCTAACAGGTTCCACAAAGGAAGTAACATTTATACTAGATCTGAGGAGGAAGAATAAATATTCATCAGATGGAGAAGTAAGGGAAAGGCCTGTTAGACAATGAGAATAAAGGCAAATCTGACGTCCCAAATGACTGATTTTAAACAGCAGTCTCTTTTCTTTCTATACAACTGAACACAGCCACTCTAACACTCTAAATCATGCTGGCAACCCCATAGCACTTCCACGGAAATCAATGCAATTTACTTTGTGGGGTCTAAAGTTTGCAGAGGTCATTCAAATACATTGTCATGATAATTATTTTCTTTCCTCAAAATATTCTTATTTTCAGGAACTAGATTTAACCATTACCATGTCATTTCTGCCTAAGTTTCATTCCACCCAGCAATTTCCATACAGACAATAGGAACTGGTGATTGTTTTATTTGCCTCAATTGTCAGTCTCAATTAACTCTAAAATCATGTTGACTTGGTAAAATTGAATGTAATCCTGGTTTTGCCATATGTGTTCATTAGCCTTTAATGGAAATGCTGATATCAATCAAGATCTATTAATAATAGCTGTTTCTCACACATACAAAACGTTTGGTATTTCCCTTAAACACACACACATACTCCCATAATCAAGTCTGAAGGAAATTACTGCCCTATGATGCTTCTGTATTTCTCTTCAAGGGAGCATATAGAACACCTTTTCCCCACATGTAATAGGATTAATCTTTAAAAGCATCATCTTCTTCAAGCAGGTGCAAAACCTTGTCTGCCCTCAGGGAAAGGCTAGCCAATGAGAGGCTATTCCTGGTGATGTAATACTTGTTAACTTTTTTCAGACATGATTGAGGCAGATGCTTTTTAGAGCATCAGGCATAAATTAAATTTAACTCTTTCTCACATGACTAATTTTAGCTCATAAGTCACCTCCAGTATTTCGTAAACAAATTGCTTAGGACAGCCCTGAAATAGTTAAGCAAAAATCATTAGACTAGAGAATTTTTTAAAGCATTGGCACCTGTACCCACTGGTACTTGCCAATAATTCCCCATCTTTCTTGAGAAATCACTTCCTTCCATATCCTGATCCTCCTGTAAATAGACAAAGTTACGTTAACACTAGCCAGCAGCAGATAAGCTTAAGTTTCTTTCTCACACAGATACTCGCGAAAATAATATCCGAAGACCTAATATATTTTTAAATCAAATTCATCACTCTCTGCCTTTCATGAGTAGGTACAAACTTTATCTTCATATCTATCTACTTTATCTCAAAGATAAAAAAAGAAACAAATATTTAAATAACTAGGTATGTTAATAATATCATTATCTTCTGCCTGGTGAGTGATTTGAAGGGCTCCATTGGTGCTGCTAAATGCTTATTAATATCCAGAGAAGCCCTGGCCCGGGTCAGGTGAAGACCCATTACCCATCACATAGTCTAATCCTAGGAAGTGA